TTTATTTCCTTTAATTTTGATGAATGAAAATATATTTTAATAGAAATGTGGGTCTGTGGTTCTGCTGAGGTGATCAGGAAGCCAACATTGCTTTGATAGCGACCTTCAGGTCTTCAGCGTTACTTCTTTCATCTTCCTCTTGACAACAGTCCTTAGATTCTCTATGGGGTTTGTGGAGAATTATCCATTCTCCATGCTGAGTTCTTGATGTAATGAGGTTACAGAAGAGTCAGTAAGTTGAATTCATGAATTCCATTTATTAATACCAAAATACAGCTGGTCCATTGTGACCTGCCACCTGTAGGAGGTAACAGACAAAAATGGCATCCCGGAAGAGGTTGTGCCTTCCTTTGTTAGCCTCTATCTAAGTTACACCCCAAAGGGGGCGTTACCTAGCTCCTATTACCCTGTAATCTTAGCTTTGAGGGCGTTTCCTAACATGTCATTTCTTTTAGCTTTAACTTAGCTTTAGTTTAGCAACTAGCTAACAGAGATAGAAGGAAAACACAGAATTATTTATTCTTGTCTGTTCTTGTCAGAGCAGTTTGCTGGTCATCCAAACACAATACAACCATAATCATTGTACCAACTTTTGGTACCTTTGGCATCATGGGGTGGTACCAAGTCATGTGTGTCAAAGGATGCATTCACACCACCCCTGTTTAGTCTGCTTCATTTGGGAAGGTGTGAATGCATAAGTCAAACTCTGATGCAGACCTAAAAAGCAAACTCTGATCCACCTGCAAACCCAGGTCTCAGTTCGGTTGCAGGGAACTCTGGTGCAGTTCCAAAGCATATGTGAACACCAAGCAGACCGGACTCCAAGAGCAGGAAGCAGACTACAGAGCAAAGCATTCTGGGTAAATACAGCAAAAATAAACACACATCTAGTGCTCGTGGGAGAAATAACTTCTGGTCTTTTGCCTACGACAAAAGAGAAATCTTCCAACCACTGAAATCTGACACTGCTCCAATATGGTTACATTTAGTGAAGAAAGAAGTTGGTTCAGTGTCTTCTCCAGAAGTTTTTGTTGTGTTTCCTTCAATGATTCTTGATGCGGCGCCACCATTGGTGAGGAACAGGTTTTTCAAAGAGTGTGTTTCATTTGGCATACTGTAGTGTGAAAGTGAACTGTACCAGCAGAAAATGTAATACATGTTGTAATTTTGGTCTCCAATAGGACAGAGTCTATCGGATTATGAGGAGTGAAAACACCATAAGTCGGCATCTCTGTGGAAGGAAGCACAAAGTGCTTCTAGTAGTTTATTTTCTATATACCAACAGGAGCATTACAGTGAAAGCTGCAATGCTCCACTTGTGAAAGTAAATCTGTTGGGCTTCGTCTTGGTAACATGCTTAGGGAAAAAAAGAGAATTTGGTCATAACTCAACATCGCTTTCAACAATATTTTTAAATATATTTTCAGACAAATTGAATCTAAGGTCATTTTTAGAGTTTAATTTGCTGTGATAAACGGTGGAAATACGTCACTCTGTGACAAACCTCTAGATGTTAAGTGAACCAGTGAATTATATTATATTAGCTTTTGAGTGTTTTTATTATCTGCTGACAGGAACAAACATCTGATTACAACTGTAATCCAAGTGAACTCTGTTTGACCCTTTGCTCTGACCTGTGACCCCTGGTTCTGTGGGTCTATTTGTCCTGCCGTTTATGAAACATGAAAGGATAAACTTGGTTCTTTATTTGTTTTATCTTCAGTAAATTAACTCTATATTAATGTTACAAGACAAAACAACCTGTTTAAATTCAGTATCAGGTCTTCTAGATTTTAGCACTCAGAAAAGCACAGCTTAGGAGTGTTTCCTTTCCTGCTGCATCGGAAATACCAGGACCAGAGCCTCTGAAGCTTGATTCTGATGACACACACACACTCTGACACGTTCACAAACGCCAAATTGGAGCCCAGACACACAGGCAGCATACATACAGGCCACTGTGAACGTGCAGCGGGCCGAAGCTTGTGAGTGTAAACAAATCCTCTCCTGCTGAAGCCGCCTCACCCACAAACACCACAACACACACACACACATACATCAACTCCCATCCGCTGGGAGTATTGTTGGACTCTTCCTCTGCTGCTGCCCGACAGGCTGTGCCTTGGGAAGAGGAAATGCACTTTTCTGTAGCACTCTGAGACAGAAGAGCCTTTGTGTTGGCAGAACAACAGGTCGACTTCTGGAATGCAACATTGGTCCTTATTTTTAACTATTGTCTTTGACCAGCTGCAAAATATCCAATCCAGACCTCTTGCTTATTATTTTACTAAACTGGGCTTGAGCCCCACAGGATTTCTCAAGGTCCAGTACCTGATTCTTATTTAAAGGTGATCTATTAAGCTTCCACTAACAGGATGGGATAGGATCTTTCCTAAATAATGAAATATTTCCTAAATAATGAGATAATCGTCTGCTTGGTTCAGCCTATTTTGAGCTTCTTTCAGATTGAGCTGTTTTAGGGCCTCTTGTCGCCTTGAATCCAGATAAACTGCTGCTGGCCACGCCCAACTCAGCTTTACACTCACATGTGAAAATGGCTGCAAACAGATGCGCAGTTATACAGCCATACCTCTTTGAAAAGCAGAAGTAAAACCTGCTACACAACCAACAAGAATGCAACACGTTTTAGAAGCAGTTGAGAACCGAATGGAAGTATGAAAGCATACAAAAAGTTAATTTTCCATAGTAAGTCACTTAAATATAACCCATGAGTCAGATGGTACAAATTTGACCAACCAGCCCTTTCATTCAGATGCAGAAAGTCGGATTATTTTGTCCGTTTAAAGTTCTTACGTTGCATTGAACTCTTGCAGCTTTTGCACCGATGTTTAAAAATCTTTGAACATGCTTGAATTTCTGTTGGGTGTCTTCTAGGTTTGTAAAGTGCTTGAAAGTTCATGAAATTTAAAATGCACAGTTTATTAATAAAGTGCAATCCAACGTTTGATTAAAAACCTGAATTTGGAAAACATTTACAGTTGAAATCACAACTAATAAAAAGAGATTTTTTTCTTCTGTCTAAAGTTAAATCAAGACATCAACTTATCTTCATTTAGGTCAGTTAGAATTACAAAAACAATGTATGTTTGCTAAATGCCAGAAAATGTAGACAGAACGTTTTTGGTTAAAAAAGAAAAAATACAACTTTCTTTGTATATTGTGTTTATCCATTTAATTTGGGCATGAAGACAATTTACCTTAACACAATTTGTTTTAATTATTTTAATGTAGTGAATCTTTATTATTCCCAATGGCGTAATGAGTTATTGATCTGTGTGATTGAAATAAATAGTGGCTTGTATTTTAGATGCTAACTAATATAATCAAAATTGGAGATATTTTCGTTAGTGTTCTCTTGAACCAGTCCGGTGTGTGTGTCAGAGACTTTTCAAAACCTTTACCTTGTCCCTGTTGTAGAATATAAAATACCGTCACCAGGCATTAATCATCAACAATAAGTCAATAAATTGAATGACAAATTAAAATGACTTTGATAATTTCCATTTGATTTGTTTTGTGTGGTGCTAGAAAACTTTGAAAACTTAATATTAAAGATGCAACAATCCGATATTAATATCTGTATCAATCCTGACATTGATAAAAATTTTAGATTGGGTATTGTAACAGTTTGCCTGATACGTAATGGCAGATCTGTTCAGTCTAATTCTCTGAGCGACATCATGCTTCATTTATTTCATATTTTATGTATAATTCATAAATCTACTTTCTGAATCATTTTAAAGAAGGTTTGTTGCAGTTTATTTTTAAATGTTTGATCAATGTAGTCAACCTACATTTTTGTCTATTTCAGTTTCTTTATTATTTATGTTTCTAATTACAAATTAAAGTCATGTTGTTTTTACGTGTTTGACAAAGCTTGTAAACCTATTGCTGTACTTGAGTGTGCCGTTCTGGTACAGAGTTATCAAATAAATCTATAATTCAGTACATTTATGTCTGTTTAAAAAAAAGAAACATTTTAAGTCAACTCAGTTTTATCAGATCAATGTTGATTCATACTAGACCTCAGATATCTGTGTGTTTAGGCTGAAAAATGTATCAAGATATTACTTCATACCAGTTGACATTGTTAATTGTGAATATTGATAATTATTTATTAGTATTTTGTTTAAAATATCTGAAATACTGCCAAACTATTTTATCCACAATTTTCACCTCATGGCGTTGAGTTTTATTTTTAAACAGTTGTGAGACTGTGGTGAAACCTTGAACTGCTCCTGCACAAGTTACTTAACAGTTGGTTGCTTAGTAACCAAAGTTGAGGGGAACTTGGAACTGCTTGTTTCTCAGCAAAATGCTGCTAAGTAACCAAAGAGTAAGTGAGTTAGTTGACGCCACCAACCTTGCTTAGTTAGCTGTTAGACATTGAGCGGCTAAAACTTTCCTCTGCCTAAATCCCCCAGAATGCTGTGCGGTTCTGGATTGGAATTTAGTGAATATTCTATATTTAATATAATGTCAAAGTACTATCTATTGATACTGATCATATGTCTGTTGTGATATATATTGTTCTTTATTTATTGCCCTCTCCTAATCTGTACCAATGATAGAAGTGAAAAAAGGGGAAAATGCATGAAAAGTGCTTAAGTTTTACTGTAGGAATTGTGTATGGACCCTGAGTTTATTTTGAAGAGACAACATAAAAACTTCCAGCTTCTGCCCAACCAGAGGTCATTCCTGTACCAAGTCCTGGTCACTCTGGGACTAATTAATTGCTCTTAGTCAACAACATTTCACAGATTTTATCTCCCAAATTCACCCTTCCTACCAGTCACTTTTTCTCCATGTCTCAGTTTGAAAGTATTCCCAGTCTCCTCAGGCAACCTCTCACATGTCCACTGAAGCGCTCTATTTGGTTATTTTTAGGAAGTTTCCCCTCTCAACCCTCTCCCAGTGCTCAGATGGTCCAGTCCAGGCCAGAGGAAGGGGAGTGGTAGGGAAAAGGGGAAAATCTTCAACAATGATTTCATTAACATGATGCCCAACATGAGCAGTGCAACTGGAATTTACCATCTCTGACATCTCTGGATTTATTTCCCCATTCGGATTTAACGTCTTATAAACTTTGACTTTTGTTCGTATTGGACATGGAAACCTGTTGAATTTTCTTCAGAAAAGACAATGTTGATCAAAAGTGAGTATGTGAATGATGCAAGAACATAAAATCCTTCATTATGTTGCTTCATTGATGGCAATTAACAATTAATTACTGCTTGACAGTCCTCATTAAGGAGATGATTGGCTGTAACGAGCAGCTGTTTGAGCTGTAAAGGGCTGATTTAAATTTAAAAACTTATGACGAAATTAAGACTCTTGAATTGGTATTTGTGGCATAACATTGTTTTTGATTCATGAGACACAAGAATGTGAGGAACGTTATTGTTTGAAGGTTGTAGGCCTAGAAATATGAAAGCTGCAGCTTTGAACTCTGCTGGAATAAAAGGTTTTTCATGGGCAGTGAGAGTGTAGGATTCAGGCTGAATGTGTGTGGGTCTCTTTAAAATGCACATTTTAAGAAGACTTTGTTTTGTTTTTGTAGATTATTTTAAATCCAGTGGTTGGAATCTTTTTCATTGGGGGAATCTTTAGGTCAGCTTTTTGCTTCATGAGTTGCTGCTAATATCTGAACTGATTGAAATGTCACTAGCTGCGCTTCTGTTACAAATGTGTGCAAAACTTTGTCAATATTTCAGTCAAAAAAAAACACAACTATGCAATTGCGGTGTTGTCATTAAATAAGGAACGCAATTAAAATCACATGTCAATAAGTTTGTTCACATAAGTCATTAAAGAACATGACGCGCCATGAATCTCCAACTACTTCCTGTTGTCATCGTCTACTTCGTAGTTAGTGGCAACATCCTGTTGTTGACCTTGTGGCTTGTGGTTTATTTAGCAGTTTTACTGTGTTTCCATTAAGCAAATTTATTTTTCAAATGTCAAATTTCTCAGTTATATGGTCATTGGAAATGCAGCTACTGGAGCACATTGGCATTTTAACATGGAATGTTTATTATGATGGCCAATGTTGTGGAAATTTACCTTCCATAAAAACTGGTGCAGTGGACCTCCATTCGCAGGAATTACGAATCGCAGGTAGGCCTGTTGTGATAAATAATAAATCATTTAGTCGCATAATAAATTAAAATAAGTTTTTCAAAATAATTTCCAGTTGCATGCTTGTTTGTGTCTTTTTCTTTTTACCAAAGAAACTGGATAACAAAAAGTCATTGAGTTACTCCTCCGCTCTTGTTTCCTTAGAACGGGCTCGACATATGGGAAGCAACAAATGGCAGAAAAATGTCAGTTTATAGTCCTTGTGAACTTAGGATGCTATAAAAGCTTTGGCACTATGAATGAATGTGTAAATCTGTATGTATAGTTTTGCTACTGTCTAGATTAGACAAGCAATAAATTCAAATTTGCCAAACTAATTGTTTATCTTAGGAATAGCTGTGGAGACTGTTGCAAAATTAACTTTTTACATATTTTTGTACTTCCATTTGGGTTCACTGCTTCAAGAAATAGCCCAAGCACTAAAAAAAGGCTATTTATTTGACAAAAATTTGTTTTTTGTGTCAGGAAAACCTAATGATCAACGGCCACTGTGCTGTTACCTTGCAACACTAACCAAGCCAAGCCAGTTACCTAGCAACCCTAGCTGAGCTCCAGCATAGCTGCTTTTACCGCTGTATGCGCTGTACAATGGCTGCTAGAAAAGACAAGTGTTTTCTTGTTGGCTTTCCATCCCTGTTGGTTTTGCATCAAAATTCACTTTTACTTTTCAAAGAGGTATGATTATATCATTGCACATCTGTTTGAAGCCGTTGTCATGTGTGGCTGTAACATGAAAGTTGGGGAGCGTGCTAAAACAGTTCATTCTGAAAGGGATGAACAGTGTTACCAGTTCATTCCTGATAAAACAGGAATGAACCCGTAAAAGTCAAAACTGACCAGGTTGGAAATCATTCATTCTTTAGGAATGATTTTGTGCAGAAAGTGTCATAAACATGTTTTGTATAACCTATCCTAACTTGTTCAAGAAAGTATAATAGGTCACCTTTAAATCAGTCATGAACATTAAAGACTGGATGGAAGCTTTTCTGTGAAAACATATTAGAGCCTTTTATAGAGAGTTATAACAGTAAAAAAATTCTTATCTACAGTAAATTCTACCCAGTGGATTTATAAAGTTTCCTAAAACAAGATCCAGCAAGTTGACTCAGAAAATATATTGCCTCATCCATCTTCATAGTTAACTTAATCATAATTCATTTAAAAGTATTGTCAACCTCCAGACCAACAGAAGAGGTTTTTTTTTTTTCACCTTAATAGTTAATGAGCAACAAGCTATTCTATTAAAAAGCACATGCAGGTCATTAAACACCAAGATGAAGAACTGAAGTTTTAGGTTCATCATCAGCATAACAGATGGCCCAAAGAAAGTAGTTATTACTAGGAAGTATCTGAGAGGAAAATACAGCCTAATAAATCCTGGCATATACCCTACAAACCATGAAATGTTTTGTCATGATGAAGAGGCGTCCCTGGATGTTTCAGGTTTTATCACAGCCAAAGGAAAACAAATATTTCTTGGTTATCCAGTTTAGCAGAAGCTAAGCTTTGCAATTTTCTGCTACTCAAAGAAAATAAAACTAATTAGTGAGAAAGACTGAGGTCCAATAAGGACATAATAATCAGTTGTGTAAAGGACAAATCATTAGCATACAATGGCTTGGAAAATGAATAACTCTCCATTTTCTGCATAGTTTAGTTTTTTATTGCTTTCATAATGGAAACTATTATACACAAAGGTCAACAATGTTCCAAGTCTTGGTTTATATCACATACAGAGACACTGTTGATGTAATCTTTATATTCTTATTGTAAAAACATAAGTTAGGAATGGTCCAGTTTCAAGATGGAAGTACACACTTAGTATGGTGGAGAACCCATGTTGCTGTGGGCCTTTTTTCTTCCATGTGATGGACAGCAGGGATGTCCTAACAGGCATTGCTAACTAAATTCTGGCTAAAGCTGGTAAAACAGCTTTCCTGCAAAGCTGCAAAGCTTTCCACAGCGAAATGTCTCCAGTACTGACTTGGCCTGAAAGGTAAGGAAGAAGCCACAACTCCAAAAGAAACATGAAAAGTCAGATTGTAGTTTACAAATGCACACTGGGACAAAATCTTCATTTTATCATCTGGCTTGTACCATACTGACTGTGATGTCTGGGGGCGGGAGCATCATGAGGGTCGGTTTTGCCTATTCACTGCAAAAACACCAAATCACCAAAAGTATTTTTTTTAGTTTCTAGTGCAAATATTTTAGTACACTCAGAAAAGCAGGGAGAAAACTAAAACATGCAGGATGCCGGTCCTCCAGGATGCACTTTGGGCGCCACTGATTTAACACCTGAAAACCTCCAGGTCTTAAATGATTGACTTAAAAAACAATAATGACTGTCTTTTAAGTCATTATTTTAATGACTTAAAAAACTGTTCAAATTATTAACAATTAAATCGAGGAAATTTAATCTTGATTTACTTTGCTTTGACTTCTGATACCTTTATTCAGTAGCTGCTTTCTAGCTTGTCTATGTTTCTATAAAAAGCTGCTGCTATCCCTCCAAATAGTTTCTCAGTAACTGGAGTATGTTTATCCAAACTAAGAAAAGTTGTCTTTCTGCTGGTGCAGAGGTTTAGGACTGACACTGTTGTTAGCAACAGAGGGCAACAGTTTTCAGGAAAGACTATGAGCTAATCTGGTGAAACCTGCCAGCTGAGGGAGAAGCAAAAAGAATGTGTGGGTTCTGTAAAGAAACAAAATCAAAACTAGGCCTGAAACAATCAATTATTGATATAATCATCAACTAATTTAGTAATTGAATAATCATTAACTAAATTATACAAACTCTAAAACATGCCAATTGCTGAAAAAACAACAGACAAAGAGCAGTAATTGTGACAAATATAGGAAAACCACCAGCAGTGGCAGCGACCCCTTCTCTGCTTTTAAGACAAATTTCTTTAATCCATAACATTTGTTTAATTAAAGTTTCGGGATTTACACTCACATGTGCATTGATGTATCAAAGCTTTTCAACAGAAAATATGAAAGCAAAAGTTTGACAAATAGAAGTGTCTTCAGATTTGGTTGAATTATCATCTTGTAACATTTAGAAACAGTTTGTCGGTTCCGTCGTAGAAATGAGCGGTAGGTAACCTTGCATTCTCATTATTTTAATGGCTTAAATACAGCTAATAAAGCCGTGCTGTGATTGAGTTCATAGGTTGTGAATGGAATGGTGAACAGAAACATTGCTGCTGTGATTTTCTGTGAAGTTTTCTTTGCACTTTCCCGTATTTATTGAGGTTGAAGTTTACAGTGAAGAATGTCCAATCTGGTGTTAATAGGTTTCCAGTCTTTTGTAGTCATGCTTTTCTTTAGGTTAGAGTTTAATTGTTTCACTCTGAGGTAATTAATTACAGCGAGGAACGCAATCATTTGGCACATCATTTAAATAAGAGTCAATATTTTGCATAACCTCCTGTATGTCCTCTTTTCTTTCAAAGAAGCTTTCATTAACCTTCCGTAAAAGTTGACCTAGATGGGGATTTTTTTAAATCCTTGTTTGTTTTCTCCATGTAATGAACACAACGTCCTTTCTGAACTATTCTCAGTTATCTAAGATCGTCTTAAGCTTGTTTGAAAGCATTACAGTTTTATCTTGAACCAGTGGATGATGATTTTTATTTTTATCCTGGTCTTGGTGACTCATGGAGTTCAGTACCTCACCCTCTCATCTGTCGTGACTCATTATAACAACTTCAGTTCCAGACTGACTGGACTAAAATAGTAAATTCATAGAAACCATTTAAAAGGAGGAGGAAAACCTTGTTTGGTGCTTCAAGAAGGAAACATCTTTGGGATTGGACCTATGGAACTCGGAACATGTCCAGTTTAGGACATGCAGTCATTGCACCTCAAACTGTTGTTAGATATGCCAGATTTATTGATTTTCTCCCTAACAGCAAAACATCATTAAAAGCTAACCACTGACCACTGCAAGACAGAAAATACTTTCTTTGTCTTATTATTTACACCTTCTGTGTAGTATTTCTGATGACTGTG